TTCCACCCGCCAGCCAAGGGCCCGTGGCATTGGATTAAATTTCTGTTTTTATCTATTTATTTATCTTTCTTTTATATCTAACTAATTTTCTCTTTATTTAAGATTTTACTTTAGCCTAACGCCTATATGGTTAATGAAATCGTTGCTACGTGACAACCCGTAGCTGGGACCCTAACATGTGCTACCACTCCGGGTCAGGGTGAACCTGGGAACACCAGCCATTAGGATGTAGTTTATCGTCGTACCCAGGACGCGGATGTCTTTTACCGTCGTACCCAGTTAGCATAACGAAGAGCTCATTGGGACAATTGCCATTAAAGTATTTATAGAAAAACATGGAGAGATAACCTTACGGCGGTGGGGAAGTGACTGGAGCTGTGCCGCCAGATCAGAACCAATAATATTAATGATTATTCATTGAATATTTTCAAGGAATTCTAGGTAAATATCAGGGCCCCCAGACCATATGTAGCAGCAATATTCTAAGCATGACATAGTAAACCGAATTTTTTTAGCAGCTGACCTATCAATGGATTCAATATAGTGTTTCCACTTCATAACAGCACACTCAATGTCTTTTTGTGCCATTGTGAATTTCACTATTTTAAAGATGAAAATGCCGCTCGGGCTATTTCTTTTTTTTAATTCTATATATCACGTGTGCGACCCAATTAAAATTGCATAAACATTCATTAGATATCAGTAATATCACTAAAAATCTCAATTTTGTGTACAAAGTTGGCTTCAGATTCGAATTTCCACATTCGCATTCATTAACCAATCAGCGACGTTATATCAAACTCGTTTAAGTCTTTGAAATTTCAGACGACAATGATTGTTGTCTGCAACTAAATTTGAAAGTACACTCTACAAAATGTTCAACAATATTTTCCCTCCTAAGAATTTGGGAAAAATATTTATTAACCAATACATTTCTGAAATTAGTAATTTATCTTTTATTTTCCTGGATTCTATGCGCTGTTATAAATACGATCGCTTAAATTCACAAAAATAGTTCCAGTTTTTCGTTAAGTCTTTGACCCGGGATTGTTGTTTGGTTCACAACTGATTACTTACACCTTTCGTATAATTAATTACTCAACATTTGATATATTTCTAGAGTAACTCGAGATTTTAAAGTAAATTAAGCAATACGATAACACATACAAACAGTTATGTCAACAAAAATATTAATAGTACCAATATTACAATACTCTTTATCTGTCTGCTGACGAATTACAAGGATTCATAAAACAATGTAAATACGTGACTCTTTGGTCCAATAGGCACATTCTGTTTCTTCTGTTATAATATCGCAAATGATTCTGTTGTAAAAACAAAACATTTTGTGAGACTTTGCTTCGCAAGAATCTTTGTAATTCATTTCTTTCAATTGGAAAGAAAACTCAGTAATAAAATTTATTTAGACTTTAAGAAATGTGCTTTCTTCTCTTTCCATGCGCTTTTTCTTCCACACCACGTGCCTTCAGGGCAAGTACAATCATGTAAAACTTCATATCCCTTGTAACCCATTGCAGTTTTTCTCCTTTTCCTAAGGCTATCACTCTCCGTGTCCTGCCGTACATTCACCCAAGTCCGTCAAGTAGGTCACTCTTCACTTTCAACTACCTTGGCCCCAGTATGCTCTGCGGGGGTTATGTTTTCCAAGACGTCCTTCGTCATTATGTTTTCAAGGAATTTCTTGCTAGATTTGAGAAGTGTGCATTTTGCTGCCAATAATTTAATACAAGAACTTGTGATATAAATAAAACATGAAAAAAAATGAGTATAAATTTGTTCAAATTATAATTTCTATAATAAAAAAATCTTACCGCAATACCTTTTTAAAAAAACAAAAATTACAGCAGTACACTGAAAAAAATACCAGCAATACATATTTGACAGAAAAAAAATTACCAGCAACACGTATTTGACACAAAAAGAATCTTACCAGTAATAGAGAATTGACAAAAAAAAAAGAAACTTACCAGCAATATATTTTTGTTAAATAAATTACTAATGTCCAAATTTTGGCATTGAATAATCCATTACGAGTTGACATGCCGCTAAACAAACAGTAAATGAGTCAAAACGTTTACATCATTAGGAATTTCCTTTCTTGTTAAACTAAGAAAGAGGCAGATACGTGTGCGGCGTAACGGGTATCAATGCTAATATTGAAACCAGGTAGCAGTGTTCGAGTTCACTTTCACTCAATTGTTCATCTTTTTAGCCTCCTTAGAGAAATAGGTTCAATAAGTAAACATGGGTAGTAGAGATGCGTAACAGTTAGTTCAAACATATCATGTTTGAATTCAAGAGTATATTGAAGAAATCAGACTAATATCTTTCGCAAGAATGCACAGAAACTTACAGATAAATGGTAAATGGCTATTGGAGAAAAAAAGAAAAAAATACATCCGACTTGGCTGAGGAGCGTCGTATTAAAAAAAAATCGAAAATTTCTTTTTTCACTGCAAATTATTCATTATATCATATCCAATTATTTTACTATGTTGCCTCATCTCATTGAATGGTTACGAACTATAAACCTAAATTGTGCTTGAAATATAGTGTAATCGGTTCTATTTTAACCATAGATTTGTCTGTGGAATATAATTACATTATTGTTGCATAATTATAGTGAAACCATTAAATTTTTTGTCAGAAGCATTTTATTTTCGGTCGTATATTAATTTAAAGTATTCCTTATTACCGACTTTATTTTTAAATGGAATAGGATCATTCTAAATTTCAGAATTTTGCTATATCCAATCAAAATGACTGGAAGAAAGCGATTTAATACAAATAGAATGAGAGGTAATAAAGCGTAAACGAAATTACTCCAGTTTGTTCAATTTAGGAAATTTAGCATTGCAGCCAAAGTATTCTAAAATGCTGCCAATAACAAGAGAAATTGAAAAATACCTGACAACAAATCGAATATAGCATCAAAATTTATATTATTTTCATTTTTTTATTATGTAACTAAATACATAATTGCCAACAGCGGTTTTGTAAAGCCTGATACTGTCTATAATAAATTCTAATGTTATTTTACTTAAGGTATTCCTACATTTACAACTCATTACACTTAACAATGAAAAGAAATGTTGGACAAAACTGCTTAAAACTTTTAAGCGCTTATTGCCGCAAAATTATCAAATGTTGAATACACCCCACCTCCGCCGAACGCGTCAAAAACAGGAGTGGGTTTGATGCTTGAATTTTGATTGAGAGCCTGTCTAAAAGAGAAAAAAAATGATGTTGAATTCAAAAGCGTGAAAGTGGCAACATTAAACCCCTCCACTATAATTCCTAAGACGTCATGGAAATTCCCAGATGATAATGAAGAAAATCTGTGGAGAGCCATAACTGCCTATGCCCTGCAGAACCATGGCATTAAGACCTACATCAGTTAATCTGGCTTTTCTGCTCGCGTGCCATTCTAGTATTTGTAAAGACTGTATTATCCACATTGAATTCTGATGAAATAGATATTCGCTTTAGATGATATACTTTTTAGATAACATAAAATAAAAACATTTTGGTCTCTAGCCTAAATAAGAAATTCATTTCTTTTTACTTTCGAAGACGACTAATGCATTACTTTGTGATTTCTGAAAAAAATTTAGAAATATTTCTTAAATATTTAATCCGCAAATAATTATTCAACATTATTTTAAATTTAGTTTTCTTTTTTCATGGCAGACAATGTTTTCCTCTTCATTTTTATGAGGCATTAGACAATAATGTATAGACGGAATAGTTAGAATATTTTATACATGCCAGCAATTACAAGCACTTGTTTTGCAAATTTCTGACAAAAACAGATGGAGGAATGTATGGTGAATTTGGAATTGATGCTATTAAAAGAAACCAGACGCAAATAATGGAAAAATTAAATTAAAAGTTATAATAAATTCTCGTCACGTAGTTCTTAGAGAGGTCCAATATTTTTCAAAAATAATTTTTGAAGTAGAATACCTATTATTTGGCATCTGGGAGAATTTAGCAAGTGTTATTTCCTGACCAGCTTCCTCATCTCATTGTTCTTTTTATCACGAGATTCGGGATCGATTATCTGATGACCGTTATTATTGTTTGTTTTGTTTTACAACATATCAACCTCAATGGGTCATTTAATGCCGATCATTTTTTTTTTTTTGTCAAAAATCTATTTCTGGCAATATTTTTTCCTCAAAATTGTATGGCTGGTAATATCATTTTCAAAAACATTTTCCTGGTAATAGTTTTTTTTTCTTTTCAAAAACGTATTGCTGCTGGCAATAGTTTTTTTCTTTTTTTCTTCAAAAATTTATTTCTGGTAATAATTTTTTATAATGTATTTCTGGTATTAAAACATATTTTTACACTTTTCATTTTCGGGGTGAACTATTTGCCCATAGCTGGGACCCCAACAAGTGCTACCCCCCCCGGTTCAGGGTGGACCTGGGAACATCAGAAATTAGGAGGTGGTTCCACACTCCTCAAAACCTTCTGATCAGAGGCCTTGCTTTTGGACGTAGTTTATCGTCTTACCCAGGACGCGGATGTAGTTCCGTTATTATTGAGTATGAAATTGGAATAATAAAATATTTCACACGGTGTTTCAAACTAGAATCACATATCCCAGATACTTGCATATTTGATGCGATATCAATTTCGACTAAAGAAACATTTATAAATAAACAGTGGGCAATATGATTGTCTTGATTGAAAAATCGATTCATTCTCTACGGCCTAACCACCCTTGTTGATAAGCCGTAGTTGTTAATTAGAAAATATTTTTGGATTGTAGGTTTTATAGGTAATAATGACTTAGTGATACAAGTCTTACTAATTAATCCATAGCTGAGGGGAAAAGAGGTGGATTCATACCCCTCCCACGGGTATTTATGCGTATATAACGAACGAAACTGAAATTGTGTCTCGGCTCTTCGATTGACTTTGTTTTCTATGGCTTATCAGTTATCCATTACACCACCAGGACATCCAAGCTTACGGCACCTGATATTCCCAAGCGGCCACCCATCTAGTTCCTGACCAGGCTCGACGTTGCTTAGCTTCGGTAGTCGTAACGGAACCGGTGTTTCAACATGATACGGCCGTAAGCTAATATAACTGCAGATTTGGTTTATAATCGATCTGAACAGTTTCTATGAAAAAAAACAAACAAAAAAAAACAACTACTATTCTAGTGAGCACAGTTTGATTTGCTCATTAAGCCGTAGATTTTAGAGGAAGTCATGGGTTTATACCTTTTCTAAGGAAATGCCAAAGCGAACTCGGAATTTGAAGGCCACACGCTAATTGCAAATTTCCACGCCGATAACCGTTAATCTACACAAACATTTCCCCAAAAGGATTTACAATCAAACAACATTTTAGCCTGTTTTGTGGATCAGATAAGAGTCTATTCTTTATCGGCGCAGTGGGCAGTTGGAAAACATTGATAAAAACTAAGATTGCAAATGGTGTTTTTCTGTGTCGGCAAGTGTTTCAGTCTAAATTTGTTGACGCCAAATAGAGGCAAACTTATGAACAGAAACACTGTTTCCGTTATTTACAGTGCAATATATAACACTTCATCATTGGTAACACTATTTTCTAATTTAAAAGGATAATTCCTAAAAAAATTGGCTATATAATATCGCCAGTGTATACGTAATAACAGTAAATTATGTATGAAATCACAACTCTTCCTAAAATCTGTGCATTTGGAGAAATTGTTTAGGCCAAAATAGCGATCCTCACTGCTTCTTTCATATGCTATTGTTTATCCAATACAAGGCCCGAGATTTACTCTAGGTATATTAGGGTTACGGGAAGAAATGGTTTATGGACATACGTGCAGGTGGTAAGAAAAAGGATATTTTGAAGATATGCGAGATAGATAATAATTAACGCTGGACTTAAATGGAAAAAAGTTCTTAGGAGTCTTTGAACAAAGCACCAGTTCTTGAAAAGATGCTGTTCGAATGAAACATCCTTCTTACCAATGAAATACGACAGAATGAAGACAGTTCGCCATTGTGTCCATGGTTTGGCGGGTATTAACGATCTGAACAGATGGAGCAAATATATGTAGCTCTCATCTAAATATTTTACATGAAAGTAAGGATAGGCTTGCTACGTTGTCAGTGGACAAGATGGTGTAGGTTGTGAAATAATGTTTCATACACAAGGCTGCGTAAACGATTCTGAACTCTGTCAAGGTAGAAAAGTGAAAAATTGGACAGCCCACACTTCTCATTGGATCTATTGCCAGCTCTTTTCCCGACATTCAAATATATGGAGTAAGTTAGTCACGTGCTCAACTACGTAGCGATTGTATGACTGGTGTGGTCATGGTAGCGTTGCTTTTGCTGCTAATAAACATAAGGAGACTAGGGAAATTCTCTTCTTTTGAATCAATTAAAAAATAAATATTTGTCAAATCTAAAATAAATCTTTTTAGCATTAAAATCGTTTTTGTATTAATTTAATAAACTAATTAATCATTAATGTTTGTTGATATTTTTAGAACTGACACAGCTGTTTATTTTTTTTTTTTTTCAACCTAACAAGCCAATAAAATTCATTAAGATGCAAGGGGTTTCTGAAAGTGAAAGAATAGGGGTAAACTCAATGAACGAGATTCAAGGAGACAAGTTGCCAAATGCCACTGGATTTAAATTTGTGAAGATCGTAGTTGACAGGAAAGCAGACAGCTGGAAAAATTAGTATGCAACTTATCTTTACAACTAAGAATTTCAACAGTGCAATTATGACAGTCTAATCAATGCCAAAATGTAGTTTATTTAATGAACACTGTGGATACGTGGAAATGTAATGGACAGCGATTCTGAATGAGAACTTACAGAGCTGAGATCGAATTACTGATGTGTTCGATACGTTTACCTACGGACAAAAATTCTTGGGAAAAAATGAATCAGTTTTTTTCTCTTCTAGCTCTAAGGAAAAAACAGGACAGACTAGCCCCCAGAGGCTTGAATGACAACCAGTACAGTTGAATACAAACATCGAATTCAAACCAGACAGGAGATTGTTGGATTGTGTCAGGACCTATTGATCAAGACACATGACTGCTGCTACGGGTGGATTAGATGTGGTGCTTTTAAGAATGTAAATAGTCATGAATGGGCAATATTATACTTCAAATTAAATAACATTGCAATTCATCTGTATATGATAAAATGAGATTTGTAGAAACTGCAGGGAGTTGGAATTCAGCGTTTAATAAAAGACACGCATGATTACTACGCGTTTTTCAGGATATCAGAGTAATAAACTAATTAAATTACAAAGGTATGACCACAATAAAACAATTCTATTTCATTTCAATTTAGGATAATTTGTAATTAAATATTTGCCGGATAATCTATAGAAAGTGAGAATGTAATTTGTACGAAAACAATTTCGAAGCAGGTGCCTGCCTTTTTTATCAACGATTAAAGCGACATTCTTGTGCCATTTAACGAAATCAAGTTACAATTATTAAATATATTACTCTTTAAGCAGATTTCAAATTTGGGTTAAAATCTTCTACATAATTTAAGATTGATTAGATATGAATAAATTGCGTGTCATTTTTCAGAATGAGCACGCCGAGACAATCAGCATGACAATATAACATTATAAATAAATCTTTTATATATACACATATCATTATAAATCAATATCATATGATATGATATGATATATATATATATATATATATAAACATACATTTCATTATAATTCAATCTCTCTCTCTCTCTCTCTCTATATATATATATATATATATATATATATATATATATATATATATATATAATCGTAATATATCAATCTCATATTTATATATATCAATCTCATATATATATATCATAATATATCAATCTCTATATATATATATATATATATCAATCTCATATATATATATATATATCATAATATATCAATCTCATATTTATATATATATATATATCATAATATATCAATCTCATATATATCATAATATACCAATCTCATATATATATATATATATATATATATATATATATATATATATATATATCATAATATATCAATCTCACACATATATATATATATATATATATATGTGTGTGATTGATATATTATATATATATATATATATATATGAGATTGGCATATTATGATATATATATATATATCATACTATATCAATCTCATATTTATATATATATATATCTATCATACTATATCAATCTCATATATATATATCATACTATATCAATCTCATATTATATATATATATTATATTATATCAATCTCATATATATATATATATATATATCATAATATATCAATCTCATATTTTATATATATATATATATATATATATATATATATATATATATAGTCCTCTCTAATTATCTCTCTCTATATATTCGTTTAAGCATGTTTCCTTTAATAATATAGACATCATGTTTTTTTTATTTCTCTACTGATATTTTCTGTTTCTTTATGTTAAGATAAAATTCATCAAGGAAGATGTCGTACTTTGTTCCAACCCAAGTACTTTCTATCTTCTCCAACAGCAATCTCAAATTACAAAGAGAAAGTTATTGTAACTGGGATCAAATCTGCATTACGTTGTGTTTAAAAAGAAAAACAATCGTGAACACACTCTGTTGTAATTATTTTAAATTCATCAGTTCCAATTGTTGCAATAAAATCAGAACCGTTGTATCTTAGAAATGATTACATATAATACTGGAATTCTCTGAGTTTTTTGTTACACTACTGGACCCTATTTTGAGTAATAAGAATGTACAATTACTCTCTAAGCATAACAGCTATATATATATATATATATATATATATATATATATATAATTCTAGGATAATTTTCCAACTTATTCAAAATGATCTTCCCTCTCTCTAACCTAACTTTATGTCCTGGTATAACAAGTTTCTTCACACGTTTCAACAACGATTTTATTTTAAATTTTTTTTCACTGTTTTGGATAGTCATAGGGGAAACTCGTCTCTTCAAGTGCCAAACGTCTGATGAATTGAGTTGGATCTTTTCTAATTAATCTCTTTAGCTCTAAGATCACGTGATGGCAAAAGAAATGTATATATGGGAATTAGCGTGGCGTCCTAAGTGATCACTATATGGATCAGTATTCAGTGGTTACTTTTCGATCGCGTGATATCGAGCAAGTACTATTAGTGCGAGTGATATTCGAAGGCGTCTGACACCAGCATTGTTCAACGGTGTTACTATAGTTGTATCTGCGATTACAAAGTCTCTACTACTACGAGCATTACGAAAGTGACAACGAGTATTCGTTGACATTACAAAAGTGGCAACGAGTGTTCGTTGACATCACAAAAAAAGGTATAAAAAAGTCCAGTATCTTTAATAACGTCAATAAACGAAATGATGTGAGGTATGAAAGACAGAATCAGTTTTACCGACACAGAATTTACAAACCCCGTTGAAATAAAATGTATTCGATCGATTCAAACAAATTCTGCAGATTTCTAAGTGGCGAAGCAATGGGATAAAATTTTTCTGTAATGTTTTTAGTAAGTTATAAGGGAATACAAGAACACAAAATGGAAACCTGACTATTATGAATTTGGACAGACTCACAGGAGACTGAAATAAATTTTGTGACGTCAATAGTATTTCTAAAAAAAATAACTTGAAAGCACCTCAGATGGAATCTCAATATTTTAATGCAAGAAATATACAACCATAAATGGCTCCCAGTAAAAGACCCTTTGAAAGCATACAGCCCACAATTAAATGAAGAAAGGAAAGATAAGACTAATTCTAAAAGATGACCAAATGAAAACAACGAATTAGCTATTTTAACGTCATAGGATGTATAGCTAAGAAAACGGCGACTTACCTCGTCAAACCAAGCGACAACAAATCGCGTGTATTCTACGACTAATATGTGACGAAAAAGAAATTTACTTACCAAACAAAAGGGCACGTATTCCGCATGACATGCTGAAGATGGAATATTTGAATAAAAAAAAACAAGTCCGTCGAAGGAGTCGCTATAAAAGTATTTTGATATGCAAAATACTGAACATCCTCTCCCAGCTGTCGACGAATGGTGTTCTC